AGTCGCTAGCTATCATACTCGATATAGCTAGCTAACTCAATAAAAGTGGTACGGATAGCTAGCTATCACAAGCCGATATTGCCCGATAACATATTTTTATAGCTAGATAATCTCAAAGGCACTTTTTTTGCTTGGGACTAAACAGTGTTTTTCTGCCCCGCGAGGATCAGCGCGATATAGCTCAGTCCATACCTGACTTATACCCGATCAAAAATATGGAAAAGATATCTGACAGTTAGAGTAGCATTTCTATAAAAAAAAGAGATTAGTTTAATTTTGTCTTACGTTAGAAAGGAGCAAAAACACTAAATGTCCCGCGAGTTTTTGAAAAACAGTTTATTGATATCTCCCAAACTATCCAACATTTGGTTTTCACCTTTTTAACCATTTTTTCACATTATAATATTAAACATTTTCCTGAAGTTTCAACTTTAGAGCTTTAGTCGTTTCTGAGAAAAGAGCATTTAACCGTGGAAATGTCGCGCGAGTATTTTTTGTCGAAAAATGTCTCGCGAGTTAAAAGCGACAAAATTTCTACGAAGAATTTACTTAAACTAAACTTATTATATACCATTGGATTTGCCTTTTGTTGGGAAAGATAGCCATGCCTTCCATAAGCCTGCGGGATATATCGATCGTTACTTTGAGACTAGAAAACCCTAAATAAAGCAGTATTTCATATCTTGGCTGCAATCAGGCCTAAATTTGTGTGTGAATGAGTTAAAACACATACTGTCAGATAGAGCTCATCAAGATCTATGGAACAGTGTATAATAATTATCCTGGGAAGGTCATTTTGTTGGTTTATATCGAAATACACTCAGGGATTTTGTGGCTTTACCCACGAAATTCGCGTTTTCAGAGAAAAATGAATGTGACAGTAGGGAAAACTAATGTTTTATCTACATTAAGCCTACTGGAATTCACTGGAATACATGGAAAAGATTCAAAAGCAAGTTCATTTTTTCAAATTTTTTTAGACTAATGGTACAATACCAGCGCAAACCGCTCAAATATGATGTGAAGAAGAAAAGATAAAAGTCCCACAAAGACGGATTTAACTTTGAAAGATGTAAACTACTCAACTAATATGCCAGTATGTAACAATGTCTACTTCGATCCGTTTGAGACTGAGCCACGAGAATGTAAAAGGAGGAAATGCAGCATTAGCACGTATTTGCACATGAAGTGTTCGAAGATTTGGAATCAATTTGCTCAGATGAGGTAGATTAAGACATGTAGTGGAACCAAGATCAACGGATCAAGATGAGGATGAAAACGAGTGCTAAAGAGTCGAAATTGTTCAGAGATACGATCAGTATCGTCGGATAGAGTCAATGAAATGATATGCGACGTGTGAATAAGCCGACAAATGAAGTCAAACTTTGCTTTTGAACTTGATATATCGAGGGAGCAATCGTACAAATTTAGAATGTTATTCAGATATGGACTGACGGACGGCTCTACAGATGTTAATGCAAAAGAGCGAGACAGCGATAGATGCAAAAATACAGCTAGATTAGAGCAACTACCAGTCTTTGCCGATATCTTTACAAAACACGTTGTAGATTGCTACATCAGACGCTTTAGGGAATAAAGAGATATAGATTTATATACGAACGAACTGAACTGCGTGTTTCGAAGAAAGCAGTGAGCGAAAAAACGAAACGAATTACAGAAGTGGTAACAAGAACTATTAACAAGTCTGAAACGTTATGGAGCCCGGTAATCTGTTTTGTTTCCAACAATAGTACAAATCAACTAACAATACTGTAGTCTTCTTCATACAGTCTGCACTTGTATCGTACGTTTTTAGTCGGTCAATGCCAACAACTTGTCTCGTAGTTGGACGGTTCCGTTGACTATCAAACGACCGAGAATGTTTCCAACAAAAGATCCAATAACACTACCGACAAAGCCACCAATCCATGGACATAAAGAGGCACAACCGCATGTAAAATAAGTCAAAAATGCTTGAACAGCAAATGCGAAAATGCCAATAGACAAACCTTTGACAAGACTCGTTAATGTTTTATTCCAAAATTCTTCCTTTGTCATTTGTCCATTTTTGTATTGTTTACAACGAAATATAAGTTTAACTAATTCGATAATAACCACAGCTATCGCATTGCCAATACCTTCGGCGAAGAGTATCGAACAAAATTTGTCTTTAAAAATACACAATGATGGTTCGACCAATTCACTTAATGCTTCTTGAGTGAGAGCAGGTAAAATGTTTTTCGTAATCAAGTAATCAGCTATGGCTTTTAGAAAACTGATCAGTGGTGCACCAATCCAATGGGCGACCTTTTCAATTTGTTCACTATACCACATGCCTGTTTTGCACCAAAAGGCCAAACATTCACAATTGCGTAAAACCAAATCATAGGCTGATGATGATAATGATAACGATGTTAAATCAGCAGGAACAATAAGACATTCTCCAAACTCGATTTGTTCGAGAATATGCTGAGCATTATCCACAACAAATTCAGGTTCTAGTGATTGAAATGAATAGGCAGTACCCGCTAATTTGAAACGAGCATATCTCGAACCGTACACGACGCGTTTCAAGGTAAAGTTCCGTCGAAAACGTTTGAGGGATACAACCTGTATTTGAGCACGGGACGGTTTGTGGCTACTGTCATAGGTATTAAATTCCAAAACTCTTGACTCATCGTGATCGTTATGATCGACGAACAATACGATGCCATGGTGTTGATGAAGAGGAGTCGACCAGATGTACAAATGATCTCCAAGCCAAATATCATTGGGGTAAATGCTGTGAAAGACTGGCATTGGTAGAATTTCTGTTGTTAACTGCAATAAAACAGATGTGTTTTTGAATAATAAAAATAATTCTTGGTTTTGTCTATCTCGTCGTGTGGAGTGTGTTGACAGAGGTAAATTATGACAGAACAAGAAAGAAAAAACAATAGAAAAGATATTTTGCGTCTTTTCCTTTACAATTCTGTGAATACAAAAAATACAATACTGGATCAATTGCATTCAAGTGTTGCGCAGTACTTCCTTGTTAAAGTAAAGGTTCAACTAACTGGTCGATCAAATATAGTTGTGCTGTTAATTTATTTATCTATCGATAAATTCAATCTGAGTGGCCAACAATCTAATCACGGTCAAACAATGATGCGATATCTCTTGATATTTTTCTACATTTATCTCGAATAAAATGATGATCATTCACATGTTTCGGAGGTCCTTTAATTTTATAAGCAATCTTTTTTTGACAATTTAGCTTTATCACTTTTGTCATTCCTATTCAGCCGTTTTAAACGCACAAAGAAGAATTTCGACAAAATGTGTCGTCTCTGCTGTCTACTTTTCTTATTCTAGGCGCTTATTGTATTAGTTATTTAATAATTTTCATGCTTATTCAGCATCCTCCCATTTGTTCTCTTTCAATGGGCACTACGTGTAGTTCAAAACAGACATAGCCAAGGATTGGCGATAATATCAGTGATATGTTGTCTTTAGAGCAATAAACGTGAATATTCTCCTCAAAATGCAATCCTTGTGCTTATATTATAGAAAACACCTCCATCTATGTTCTGTGATGCACACTGTTTGAATAAAAGTCATTTTATGCTGATTTTTTCAAACTAACGATTATCCATTTACGCCAAGAATATTAAGATTATTTCATTCATTCTATATTTTAACAGCGTAAGATTTAAGACGCCGTTTTCTTACGAGATCCCGAGACGGATCCACGCTTTGTTTCTTTTTTGGTGTTTGTTCGAGAAAACACGAACAGCCTTATTTTGGTGAAAGAAAGTGACTGTACTGTGACTGTTTTCAGTGAAGAAAGACTGAAAACGGTACGTACAGTTACTTTCTGTCCCCCAATGCTGTATTCGACTCAGTTTTTTTCCATGTTGATCCCGAATTTTATTAGCTTCAGGAGAAAAACTTTGATCATTTTTCGAAACATTAATGCCGTTACAACGTTTCTCATTACTCGACTGCCACCTTGAACGTTTTCCAAAATTTCTTTTGGTCAGTGGATAGCCCGTAATAAGCTAAGCTGCAACTTTGTGCTTGAAAATTCTGTTACCAGGGATCTTTCTGCTGTCTCTCGTTCCATTTTTTTGATATTCGCTCCGTTACTGTCTGTATTTTGATTTAATTTGGTATCTGAAGCTTCGAAGTTGATCAAAATCTGACGACACCTAGTGCAGTTAGACTTGAAAATTGCAATAAAACATTTTAACTGAAGTGGGAAAATCGGCATTTACCATCTATTACCAGGAATTAAATCCTTTTTATCATTACCATGGTAATGGTAATTATAATGGAATGGAATTTTTTTGTTACCGCAGGACTCTAATTGACAGACACATCCTCTTAACTCTCCTCTGTTTTTAGATCGATTTATTGTTTTGTCCACGAATCACGGGGTACCTCGTTTTTCTTATTAGTTATGTGATAAGTAAAAAACGTTTCTAAGATGTCAAAGTCAAAGATGTTTCGTAATAGTGAAGGGACTTTAACGTTTTAGCGCAGCATGCGCATCATTCAATAGAGCTCGTCGGGCTAATCAACAATAACTAGGCCTCAGCCACAGCCAAGCTGATTCGAGTTATGTCACGTCAGGTATGCGACGAATACCAGTCAAGCAGAACAGAAAGATTTGGCGAAGCTTTTGGTTTGAAGGAAGTGAGTGAGAGTGGTCGACTAGCTGTTACAAAGTCTAAAGATCATGCAAATGTTTATGTACCAGTGTTTATGTAAGCGAGATGTTTATAGTTTTCTTGAACAATTCGTGTTGTTATAACCACAACTCTTTTGCGCTGACAGTATGAGAAAGCGATCGATTCTTGTACTTAAAATATTTTATAAAAAGCAAGAAAAACAATTTATTTCAAAAGAATTAAATTTTTCAATTAAAAATTGTATCCTCAGAAAGACTTTGAGAAACTAATGTCTTTTAGTTAAGATTGAACTTCATAAAAAATCTTTCTGTAACACATGTTTGCAAATAACAGGTAGTACGAGTGCTGATACCTCATACTACATTACTTTTAACGCGTAGAAAAATTTCAAACAGAAACGATCCTCTCCGCGGAACCTGTGTATTTGAACGTACCATTTGCCATCAAATTGTTGCAGGTGCTCGTCCCATTCGAGCTTTATTTGAACTTTGTGTCCCAGGTTTTCGTTTGGGTCACCCGTTCCTAGTAGATAGATCTTTGTCAAAGCCAATCTGAGTGTCCGCTCCGAACACGAGCCAGTTATACGATATTGACCAATATTATCCTCACCGTATCCACTGACCGTACTGCTGATTGAATTGAATACTAGAGAATGATTAGAGACTTCATTCCACTTGTTATATTGATAATAGTGGCTATTCCAGACACCACACTGAAACATATCTATGCGATAAGCAGATTTGCTGCTGAATACTAGGAGTACGCTTCGTAATATCTAAAGTTCTGCGCATCTGAAGAGAGGGTGCATTTGTAAATAGCTAGTTGTCATAGAAAGAGAAACTAGAAATTGTACCAGTTAAAATGTGAAAGCGTACCAGTTATTTGGTTGAATTTGTATTGTTGCAATGGAAGCACCTCCATTTTATTCTTTGATAACCTACACTATGTGGATTAACACACTCCATTAATTTTTACTTTGGATACATACATAAAATAGTATAACAAGTTGTATAATAAAATATATCTTGAATTTAATTTTGAGTTGTTTAAAAATTTAAAAGCTTTATAAAATATCTCTGACTCATCAAATTATTAAAATAAACTACTTTCTATGATATTTGAGTGTGCCTGTTAGGAATTTACGATTAGAAGAGATGTAAAGAGTCATGCTAATTGGGATATCCATGGTAATTGGTCAAGTGCGGAATAAGACTACTGGAGATTGATTGCCAGAGTCTTTTTTGTTTACTTTTTGGTCGAAATAACTTCAAAGAGTCTAATTGTATTCAAACAAGGTAGTATCAAAGATGCAGATACACTTTTTGTCCGTCGTAAAACAAAATTGTATCATTCATATCCGACATGTAAAAGAGCTATAACGTTTTTGGTAATGAATGAGTCTTAGTCTAATTTTTATATGTTATTCATCTAAACTATGCTCACTACCACTGAAAAAAATAAGCTGAAAGTTACAAGTGGTTATTGAGTTATTAGCGGCACAATATGAAAAACCATAATTTTAACTGACAACGAGCGACAAAAAAAGCAATTTTTTTATTCGAACGAAACATTATCTCATATTACTCTTTGTGAGTAAATTGTAGTAGACATACAGACCTTTTAAAGTAAATAAATGAACTGCCGATTAATTCGCAATTTTCCGCTGAAGTCACACTAACAATGGCTTCGCAGACTCCCAAGGAGAAAAAAAATATCGACTATCGGGCGATCTAGCTAGCTAACTCAATATACTACCCGATATACCTAGCTAGCAATTCGAATTGGGTTATTTACTATCGGGCGATATAGCTAGCTAACA